CCCCAAAAGCTGTGGAAAGTGTATGATAAACTGTACATTTCAAAGAATGTGTCTTGTCCCACTGAAATAACTTTGATTTATGGTTATGTATTTATCTTTAAACAACTGACAAACCTAAGGGTATCTGAATTATTATCATTTGCTCTATGCTGCCTGGGTCTCTTCCTACAAACTTGAAATGATATACACTAAGATTGCACTTCTGCTTTCCCAGCCTTAACGTGCTATAAAACATTTTCTCAGGCAAAACCAGAAAATGCTAGATGTTCTTGATTCTGATGAAGTTCAGTTGAAAATTGTTAATGGTAATACCATTTGATTCAGGATATGTTATCAGAATTTTATTGACACAAAATTAAAATAGCAAAAGTCTCTTAAGATTCTGTTAAGTTTTAGCAGTTGAAAATATTTTATTGATGTGAATTTCAAAAATCAAGGGCTGTCTCTCACATATCTATATAGCCGTTTTTAAAGGTAAAGGGACCCCTGACAGTTAAGCCCAGTCGCGAACGACTCTGGGGTTGCAGCACTCATCTTGCTTTACAGGCCGAGGGAGCTGGCGTTTGTCTGCTCCGCAGACAGTTTTTTCCGGGTCATGTGGCCAGCATGACTAAGCCGCTTCTGGCGCAATGGAACACCGACACAACAGCATCACACTAATCCACTTTTGTCTTAAGGGTGGGAAACCAGTGGCTCCTGATCCATAATCATAAGGGCCAAACTACCCAGGCATAGGAGAGCTATAATCAGATCTCATAAAGTCTTTTAATTTTGGTATTTTACAAAACAGGGACTTGTAAGTTTCCTCCACAGCCAGTAAGCAGGTGGTAGTGGGTAAATTGTATCCGGGAATCAACAGAGACTAAATGGATTAAGGCAACATCTCAACAACGCAGCGCTGATTTAAATAATACCCCTCCCCAAAGCTGCTCCAAGCTGAGGTAGGGGAAATATTAGAATACCTGAATGGTAAAATTTGATTCCTAAACAAATCATGACTGATTCATACAAATGTCTGCAGTGCCCAAATTTACTTTCATGTTGTGAGGGTTCTATATGACTAGGTATGTAATCAGCTATACCACGGCTATAGGATCTTTAAATCAGCTGACCAGGTAGGTTGGCTGGGCTGGAAGTTCCAATGCATGCAGTTTTAGCAACGGTATGATTTCTGATGGCCAGTATATATGTTTGCCACAATTTCTCGTTTGCTGCTCCTTTTTCTGCTCCTTAACTTTATCACAAGAAATTCTAGCACAAATTGCTTTAAACACCTTTAAGTTCTGACCACTACATTAAAATTCATAAAATTCTGGGGAGTTTACTCACAAGCAGACTTGTGCAGGGAAATGTTGATAAGTATAATATATCTCATCTCAGTTTTTCTGCATGTTTGCTCACTAAATGTATCCCGGTTCTAGAGTAATAAAGGTTACTTTCTGTTAATTAAATAGAAATTGATAATTGTTTATGCAGTGGAAAATAATACTATTTTCTTCTCTTACTGCAGAATTGCATATCAGCATAATTAACATTGCTAAACTGTCACTTGTTTTTATATCCTTAAATCAGTTGACATTTACATGTAGTTTTGTATTTTGCATGTAAATGGAAAAGTTTAATGGCTTTGAACTGCAAATCAAAACCCATTGACAGAGCTTCCCCTTGGATATTTTTCTTTTTTGTCTTAAGAACATGACAGCATTGCTTTCTAAATATTTACACATAAGAGGGTAAAATGACTGTTTTTGACCGCAAAGGTTTTAGAAATATCTTCAATACATAATTAAACATGTAAGCTCTGAAATGAGAAATTCATATGATTTATCAAATGCAAAATATGGAAACATGACTAATTATAAATCATTTTCAAGTGCTAAGAATTTTGTGGATTTGCATTCTGTACTGTGTGTATTTGCTACTTCTTGATTCTTAGACACTCAAGAAATTTTGTGTTGCTGTCACTTATATTGTGCTCATATATGAATGCCAGGGAGTCCTCTTAAAAAGAAAATAGTTATGCATCTGTATTCAGTCCAAGTGAAAGATCCATGAGATGCCCCATAAAGTCCAAGAAAGGGAATAGATCTGTGTGCACAAGGAAATGTGCATATATATTTGCTTCAATAAAAATAGGAATAAGTCTTTTGTGGAGGAGAGCTCTTTGTGCCCCTCGCCTCTGATGCAAACAGAACTGGATTTCATCCCAAAGAATGGTCACACAAGTGTAGCCAGAACTGAAATTCCACATGCAGATATTATTTTAAGATAAAAAAGCGCTAAACTATTCCAAGGTGAGTTCTGTCTGCCAGAGTAGCAACTGCAGTTCAGAGTGGAGGGCAGGGGGAGACACACTTGGACATGTTCAGTTCAGAATTGAAGTCTCTTCAATTAAAATTAAATAAAATTGCAGAATAGCTTGGTTAATTCTGGGCCCAGTTTGGACCTAATCATACTTTTGATGACATTAGAAATGGAACAGAATTGGAATTTCTTTACCCAACCTCCTGTGATCTCCGGCCAGGGAAGACCTATTGGGGTGATAGCTTGGATCTGAGTTTGAGATGCTGTTTCTGAGCATTGCCAATGTGCAGGTTGGTCTCTGTATGCTTACCAGGTGGTGGAGAGCAGAGAACACTCTTCTACTTTTCCTTGCTTTCCACTTTCCCCAGTCCAGACAAACAATTAAAGAGGTCTGACTAACAGTGACTTTCCTGCCCCCATCTGCTTTCAAATCTCCTTAAAAACCCTTTTTTGAAGTTTGGGGGATGCTTCTGAATGGGGTAGACGATTGTACAGGTTGCTGAGGGAGAAAAAGTGATAAAGCAGCACATGCCCACACACAAACAGTGACCCAAGCACATATTACACCTCTAGAGTGGACACAGCTATAGATAGACCAATGGTCTGGCTGAGAATAAGACAGCTTCCTTTGTTCTTAATTATTAGGTCTTATTCTTCCCTATGTTCTGCATTGCCTCTTTTAGCTTTGCTTCAAAAGCAAGTTGCTATCTGTCCCCTGTTGCAAAGCTTTGCTTTCCCCCTCTGTGTTGAACCAAAGGCGAGACTGTTCCAGAAGGCCTGCAAACACTATATTGGTAGTCAAGATAAACCTGGGACTAGTTGGCAGTTGTTGCAAGGATGAGCTCATGTATGCTAATAAATGCACTTGCTGTGATATATGCTAACTGCCTTGCTTTGATGCTGTGTTTACTTGTGGGCCCTGGGATGGTGGCCTCTTGGCCTAGAAAGGGAGTCTTGGAATTGATAGTTGCCACCTATGCCCTCATGGGTCAGGTGGGTTGATGAGAGATTCTGGCCCAATGGACGTATGCTGTCTTTTGTATAAGTTATGCTTAACATGATAGCTCTTTGCAGACAAGTTATCATGGCCTCTCACTGCCGCAATGTCTGAACCATATCTGCAATGGCAGTGGAGCTTCAGAGGCTGTGTTGCAAGTTTACATCTCCCTGTAAGAAAGCACTAGAACTGGCCATTCTGGTGTTTTTGACACCCTTCTTTGGTATCCCTGCATCAAACCACTTGCACAGGCCACCTGGGTTCAGAACACCCTCCCTTTCTGTGTTCTTTGACAATGCAGCAACATGTTTCTGGTTACCTACTGGGGGATAATATATATTGTATACCACATTAAAGGTAAAGGGACCCCTGACCATTAGGTCCAGTCGTGGCCGACTCTAGGGTTGCAGCGCTCATCTCGCTTTATTGGCCGAGGGAGCCGGCGTACAGCTTCCGGGTCATGTGGCCAGCATGACTAAGCCGCTTCTGGCGAACCAGAGCAGCGCACGGAAATGCCGTTTACCTTCCCACCGGAGCAGTACCTATTTATCTACTTGCACTTTGACGTGCTTTTGAACTGCTAGGTTGGCAGGAGCAGGGACCGAACAATGGGAGCTCACCCCATCGTGGGGATTCGAACCACCAACCTTCTGATCAGCAAGCCCTAGGCTCTGTGGTTTAACCCACAACGCCACCCACGTCCCGTATACCACATTAAAGGTAAAGGTACTCCTGCCCGTACGGGCCAGTCTTGACAGACTCTAGGGTTGTGCGCTCATCTCACTCTATAGGCCGGGAGCCAGCGCTGTCCGTAGACACTTCCAGGTCACGTGGCCAGCGTGACAAGCTGCATCTGGCAAGCCAGCGCAGTACACGGAACGCCGTTTACCTTCCCGCTGGTAAGCGGTCCCTATTTATCTACTTGCACCCAGGGGTGCTTTCGAACTGCTAGGTTGGCAGGCGCTGGGACCGAGCAACAGGAGCGCACCCCGCCGCGGGGATTCGAACCGCCGACCATGTGATCGGCAAGTCCTAGACGCTGAGGTTTTACCCACAGCGCCACCCGCGTCCATCGTATACCACATTAGATCAGTCCAATTTGTTATTTTGATTTTAACAAAAATATTTTCTTCATGTATATTTGATTTAATTTAAAATGCAAGGGGGGAAATCCTCACCTTTTATCTTTAGCAATATATTTCCTTTTTCCTTCTCTCTCTCTGTGTGTGTGTGTGTGTGGTGGGAGTGGGGGAACTACTGCAAGCACAGCTGTTTTTGAAAACGTAACACAGTATTTTTGAAAATGTAACACAGTATTCTTCCCACTGTGCTTTCTGTATAAGTTTTTGAGTGATACTAATCCTATGAGAAACTGTAGTGCTAAAACATATTGCTGATCTGAATGTTTCAGTAATTAACATATGCTACTAAATTTGCTGAAATGAAAAACATTATATTTTAGGTCATTTCTTTCTTTTGCCACTTTAATTGAATAATGCAAGTTATTCATGAAAACCTGTATTTAAGTCAATGAAATGAAAGGTTCGTTTAAAACAACAATCAACGAGGATTATTCACAGGGAAACATTGAGGCTCCTATTTTATTGTGGATAGTTGTAAATGTTTTGAGTGAAGAATCCAATATGTAGCAATATAAAATAACCTAGATCACGTAATACAATTTCTTCTCCATTTTCAGGGTTCTCCAAAGCCAATTGCCATTGAGCCTTGCTCAGGAAACAAAGCAGCAGTACTTACGGTGTTTTTATGCCTGCCAAGAGGATCATCAGGAGTCCCACCACCTGGTCAGTCAGGTAAGAATTCTCCTAAATAGCAGCTATGGCTCTGATTTATTTGTTGTTATCCTAAGTGTATACTGATATTTACATTAAAAAAGGAAGAACCAGCCTCCATTATAGTTGTCGAACCATACAAGTTGCTTTTCAGAATAAGGACCAGTTGCAATTTGTCAACTTGTTATAACTTACCTTCTCCCATATATACCTGCCCATTCATTCATTGAGCTCCTCAATGGAGGCCCTTCACCAGGTCCCCCTACCTAGTGAAGTGGGTTGTTACTAAGGAGAGGGCTTTTTTGGTGGTGGCACCATGCTTATGGGAATGCTTTCCCCAGAGAGGATAGCCTGGCACCCACGCTATGGTCTTTTATAGACAAATTAAAACCTTTATTTTGTTCTCCAAGGCCTTTTAATGGGTATAGTTATCTGGTGCTTTTAGATAGGTGTACCATGTTATTCTGCTTCTGGTTGTTTGTTTTTTTCTGATATAAAATTGTTCCTAGATGGTATGCCTTTGTTGGGTTTTAGATGTGTGGAGTCCCCCCCTATGTTTACATTATTTATAAATGCTTTTGCTGTTTTTATGGCTTGAATTTAGTTTGTTGTACTTTTAATGGGTTTGTAAACTATCCAGAGAGCTATGATTTGTTGGCAGTATATACATTAAATAAATAAACAAAACAACATGTTATATTATCCAATCACTTCTGTTCTTTTGAAGTCTAGTTCTTTCTTTCTTTCTTTCTTTCTTTCTTTCTTTCTTTCTTTCTTTCTTTCTTTCCTTTTTGCCTTGTCTAGTGAGCTAATAAGCATTTTTTGCTCTGCCACTGAAAAGGCTGGCTTCCTTTGAGTTGTTGCTTTGTGCCAGGAAAATTAGAACAAAGCTGACAAGGCATGGTTTGTTGCGCTTCCTTTATGTTTACCGTTCAAACTGTTAACCCCTTTCCAGCTTCTTCACACTTCTCAGAAGACCAGTCAAATAAAGACTAGTAGCACACCTGTGTATACATATGTACATTTTTATAAGGAACTATTCATTATAAAGATGCCACATTTGAAAATGTTTGCAAAGTACTTTGCCCAGCTGATCCTGTCTAGTTTGTTTTTGCCTGCCTTTCCACCTAATGTGGGAACTCAAGAGTGCCTCCAGTAAAATATAAAAAAGGGATTCTTTTAGGTTTGCCAAGATGGGCTTAGAAAAAGGATGGGCATTAGGATTAAAACATAGTGGTATGTGTTTTAAACCAGCACGCCAACTGTAATTGTTAGAGTCTCTCTGAGATGGAAGTCTGCTACAGTGAACGTTCTACTCAAAGTGAGACGTGGGGAAATAACCCCATTTTGCTTCTAAACCATTTCTCTAAATGATGTTACATAGCATTATCCTGAAGGGACTTCAGGATGTCCACCCAAAGAAGTGCTGGCAATGACTATTCAGCAAAGGTTTACCCCCTCCCTATTGCTAAAATCTCCCCTCTCTGATTTGCAACCCACAAAGGGGTAGCAAAATTGGAAGGAGATCTTTTGGCTTGGCATTAGAGATTTGGTTGAAAAGATTTAGTCTATCATATTTACTCTAGCAGAAGGAAAGGTCCATAGAAAAATTATTAGGCAACAACTTTGCATGTAGATGGTCCTGGGTTCAATCCTCAGCGCCTCTAGGCAAGTATGGGAATGTCTGTTATTTGAAACCCTGGAGAGCTGCTGTCAGCCAGTGTAGACAGTACTGAACTACATGGACAAAGGCAACTTCCTATGTTCCTTGTTGACTACTATGTTTCTTGGAGAGTTTCCTGAGGGTGTTTGTTCTGCTTCATCACCGAATGTACAGCTGTTATTTCTTCCCTATTTTGCCCTCAACTTTTGCTCTTCCTCTCCCCAGTGCCTAAAATGTTTGTGTCAGGTAAGAAGGCAAGGGAAGCAAACCTAAATTTGCTGTTGGCAGCTGAAGCCTTGCCCTTCAGAGGGTCAGATTTGTTCGAGAGCTGCCACTTCCCAGCCCCTATATTATTGACTAGTATGCCACAGTGGGGCTAATTATAGTGGATAATTATATGTGATGGAAATGCAGTTTGGAACATTTCAATAAACAGCCTGGGGAATAAATACTATGTAGCCACACAATATAAATATAGATGCTCTGGAAATTCTGCAATTCAAATAGCCAGAAAGGAAACTCTGAAACTGGAATAAATATTCCCAATTTAATATAGGACATAGGCTAGAGATGGTTGCTGTTATTTCATCATCTGCTTCTTCTCATGAGAAGTACACCATTAAAACCAAAGTGAAAGCACAGTACAAAGTACAGCAAACTTTGGGTACCAAGTAGTTATGTCCTGCCTTCTAACCCCTAAAATCTCAAAGTAAGACTTTTCTATTTATATGGATAGAAAATGGAGTGTTGGTTCATCTCCCTCAAAGTGGGGGGGATCAAATCCTCATCCATTACTATTTACCCACCCAAGTAATTAATGGAGGTGTGTCTATGCCTATAGTCCTGATATACCCAGTACTGAATTATATGTATTTATATTTGTAATATCAACTAATGGAGTCATCTGAGATGAAGATGCATATGCCCCAAAGGCCCCAATTATACCCATTGAAAGCTCTGCATGGAACAGGGATAGTATGGAGATGGCCTAGGATCTGGTGGGTCCAAGGTCCCTTCGTTCATGGAAGAAGCCCCTGAATCAGCCTTCCTTTGCCAGTCTCAATATGATGTAACTAATTTCCCTCCATTGGAGCCAATAAGGAGATACTAAAAAAAGCAAAGATCCATGTGGGAAAAATTCAGAACATCTGTCCTCAATTTTCCACCCTGGCCAGCACAAGCCGGTAGGACTTTTCAGTGCACATGGACACCCCCCCCACACACACACACTTCATGCACACCCCTATTGTCACTTCAGGTTGTCCTGCAAGGTAGTGTCCTCTGTATGGGCCAAGTTTTTAAAATCTGGAAATTTCCTCAGTTTATTTTATTTAACAGCAGTCTAAGAAAATAAAGAAATCAAGGGTAATGATACCTTAGGAAATATTGAGGCTTGAGAGGAATATATGTCTGGATAGGAAACCTAGTACAGAACAATAGTTTTAAACATTATACATATGGAATTTATGGGAAGTTGGAGAGTACTTTTGTATCAGTATTTCCAGATTTGTCATAAAATATGTATATTGGTTGGGACACGGGTGGCGCTGTGGTCTAAACCACTGAGCCTAGGGCTTGCCGATCGGAAGGTCGGCGGTTCGAATCCCCGCGATGAGGTGAGCTCCCATTGCTCGGTCCCAGCTCCTGCCTACCTAGTAGTTCGAAAGCCCGTCAAAGTGCAAGTAGATAAATAGGTACCGCTCCAGCGGGAAGGTAAACGGCATTTCTGTGTGCTGCTCTGGTTTTGCCAGAAGCGGCTTAGCCATGCTGGCCACATGACCCGGAAAAGCTGTCTTTGGACAAACGCTGGCTCCCTCGGCCAGTAAAGTGAGATGAGCGCCACAACCCCAGAGTCGCTCGCGACTGGACTTAACTGTCAGGGGTCCTTTACCTTTTTTATGTATACTGGTAATGTCTATTGAGAAATAAGACAGATTTGAAGTATTAATCTGTAGTAGTAATTCAAAAGGTCTTGTATAAAATGATGATAAAATTAGAAATAAGACCTACTCTCTGCTAAGAGGATTGGGAAAGGAACTTAGGTACTATTATGTCGAATGAGACTTGGACCTTGATGGTACCTTGGATAAAAATTAACTTTGTGTACAAAGTTTTTTAAAAATAAAATCAGTTACCCCATCTAGGGAACCAAAGAAAGCCTGTGAAATGTAGGAGGGGGAGAAAGGAAGGAGGAGAAATATGTGCCTTACCAGCCCTCTGATGAATCCTTCCCAAAGTGCTGAGCATAGGACTGGCAGTGCCCTTTGTGCTGCAGTTCCCAAGCGCCCAATTGACAGCTGGCTGGGGAGAGTTTGGAAATCCTACACAAGGCATTAGGACAGGGTCAGAGAAGGTAGGTAGATGGACAGTATTTTCTTGTTAGAAAAAGAGTAATATTCCTAATGCTTTGAGATGACAAGATACACAATAATGTGTACCCACTTAAATTGTTAACAAATTTTTCTCAATACCTGTTTTTATGGCTTGGGTTTGAAAGTTTTAATGCAAATGTATTGTTTCCCTCTTTAAACAATACAATAAAAAGAGAGAAAAATCAATATCTAATTAGATCTGAAATTTCTTAAGTGAATTCACTAACATATCTTGCGTTCAGGCCTTAACTAAAAGTAGCAATGAGTTATCTGTTCCTTAGTGCTAATAGCTAGGGCTTAATTGCAAATAGCAGGACAAGTCAATAGATTTCCCATATGCAAGCTGAAAATATAGAGACTAACCTACAGTACTTTACTGTAAATAGTAAACCATCTCAAGCCTGCCTCTCTATAGCACCAGTACAACCATGTAACTGGTTTTTCCATACCCTGCATTCGTGCTGATTTTTGCCGAATCAGTCAGAAGGTCTGGCATTTGTTCTCTCACAGGACTGGCACAAGCCTAGAGGATGTGGCTGGTTTCTCTCTTATCTTGCAAACAGCACCTCAAAATGTGTCGTCTTCTTCTACTACTACTACTCAATCTGATATTGTTGGATCTTCTACAATATTGCTATGGGGCTTTTAATACTGAGATTGGTTTGCAGCTCTGGGTATTTCCTTTGCCTTGAACTCCACAACTTACTAGATCAAGCAGTAAAACTATTGTTGTACCATACCATTCCATATTTCACACGTGGATCTCATGACTGACATTTTTTGCCTATGAACCTCTCCCTCTCAAAGAAAAACCTTCCTACACAAAAGCTCATACTCATTCTTCTCTCTGATGTGTGTGTGTGTGTGTGTGTGTGTTTAATGTGGAGGGGATTGGTGTTGTACTCAGTTGGGCATTAAATCTTGCAATTCTACCCGCCTAAAAATAAATAAATGAGTGAAGTAGTGAAGTCCAGGATATTTTTATC